AGCCTTGCGCCTGCAAGGGGCAAACATTCCCAAGTCGTATCGCCTTTCTGCAGGCCCGCTTCATCACGCACGCTCGCCCAGATGTATTCAGGCCTGACAAGAAGGAGGGGAAGCGGAGGCGGTGATGGTCCATGGGGTGGGGGGGGGGCCCTAAGCAGAAGTTATTTTGGAGAGCCCTCCCTGTCAACGTATCAATATCCCAGTGAGATGACGTACCCACGAGATAGACTATTCAGCGATCCCTCTAGTGACGTGATCAATCAATTGGAGGGCTATTTATGTAACTTTTTTTTTGCCGGGGAGGGTAAAGGCCTATTCTTATTTTTTCACCATTTTTATACTGGTAAAAAAAAAAGGTCCCATATAAAATAACTGCTCAACCCGAGCTCTGGTCTGACACTGGTGGTGAGGCCATAAAGAAGGCTGTCTCTCGTGCAGGCCAATCCGTTTCAAAGACAATGCAGACATTACTCTTTGGTTCTTTCGGTAAAGTCACGTAGGTAGAACAATAATCAATCACGACGTCTAGATCGCAACACAAGCAATCGTCATCAGGTGGGACAACCACAGCAAGAAAAAAAAACTGCTGTGGTTGTCCCACCTGCTGACGATCGCTTGTGTTGCGATCGAAACGTCGTGATGTACTTTATTTTTCTACCTACGTGACTTTACCGAAAGAACCAAAGAATATGGATTCCTGCAGTCACGAAAGCTTCAAATCAAGAATGCGTACATTATAATCAGAGCATGTTTTGTTTGCATGTTTCGCCACAGGTACGTGTGGTTAATGCAGACTTGATGCCTTGCAATGCGTGTCCGTTTGGCGATTGAACATCTCAACACCCCCCGATCTATTGCCAGAAGGGGTAAGGTCAATTGCAGGGCTGCGCCTTTATCCCCTGCACCTTCGCGAGTGAGATGGCAGAAGAAGAGACGTACTTAAGGCATGCAGACGTAGTGCGAGATATGAGAGGGGTGAAGGCAAATGCCAGATGCGGACATCGTGGACGTGAGAGGTGAATGGGATTGCAATGTCCATTAGCTTGTTATGTTTATTGGGATTCGAGTTGACATTTGATGCACTCCTCGTTTTGTTTCACGAATCTAGCCCCCCCCCCCCCGCCCCCCCCCCCCCTTGAGCTACTTGGGGCACGACGCTTTCGAGCTGTGTGTTTATGCAATTTAACACTCAGTAGGCTTTCTTGAGCCATATTATTCATAATAAATGTTTTTTTTGGGGGGGTGGGGGGAGGGTGTAGATCGCATATATATAAGCCGGCTGTAATCGCCAGCGAAACGTCGTACTCGAATTGTAAATGCTGTGGGTGTACGCCCCAACACCGGTGTGCTGAACTAGTAACTAATCGGCACGTTGCGTTTACATGACAAACCTTACTAATTAGGCTTTATATTCTTGGTTCTCTTCGGTAAAGTCACGTTGAAGGGAAACAATAAAATATATATGTAATTTATTATTTTATTGTTTTTATTGTTTTATATATATTTATTATTTTATTGTTTCCCTTCAACGTGACTTTACCGAAAGAACCAAGAATATGAATCACTGCAGTCACGAAAGCTTTAAATCAAAATTTAATTAGGCTTTGGTGGTGGCGGTGGCTTCACGACACATTGATATTTACGCGATCTAACCCAACAAAAAATCCCTTATATCGGTATTACTATTACGTGTTTGTGAGCGTGTGCTTGTTCCTAGGTCGACTTAGCCTCAAATGAGTACCTGGTGCGGTGTGTAAACCTCGTCACTTGGGAGACAAAGGCGGCCGGGCGTGGTGCTGGCCACCCACCTCCTCGCGTGCCGTGCCGGCCTTCGTAGGTGCTGCTCGCTAACAGCACTTGCCCCAGCAGTCTGTTACAGGCTATACGGGAGGTATTTAAAAAAAAAAGATTTCCTCGTGCGTATCCACTGTTTGTCCTGGGTCGCTCTGCGTTTGCTCCACTCGGAGCGGCTGTCAAAAGTCCCCGAGTCAAATTTCCCCCCCCCTCCCCACCACCACTCTCGTACCTTGGCGTTGTCCCCACGAGACACACGGCCCTGTATACCTAGCCGTGTTAAATATATTATGCAGCGCGGTACAGGTGCGTTTCCTCTTCATTCGGCGGCAGATGTCGCCATAAATCAACAGTGAGTTCAGATTGGCTCGCCGATTACAGCAGCCCCTGCAGTTGGAGGACACGAGGCTGGGCGGGTGGCCGCAAAGGAAGTTGAGCTGCTGCCTCTTCTCATCATCTGATGATGCTGGTTGTGATCACCGGCGAAACGTCGTTACCCGATTTGTAAATGCTGCTGTGGGTTTACTCTCCGACACGCCGGTCAGTGCTGGACCAGTAGCGAATTGGCACGTTGCGTTTGCGCGACACAGCCTTACAAATTATCCGTGTCGGGTGGTGGGCGGGTTTAACGACACATTTATATTTAAGCGATCCAACCCCCCCCCCCCCCAAAACCTCCCCCCTTCTATTACGAAGCCTCTTCTGTTATTAAAAACTTGTTTTTGTTGCCAAGTTCAGACTTAAAGGCCCCCACGTGCCAAACGGCACAGCAACGTCGAAGTTGGGAATTCGATTTCGAGTCGAAGCGCGTTTCTCGAATCGAGCGAGGTTACTGCGAGAGCTTGCGGGGGGGGCGGGGGGGCACGGTGGGAGGGGCACGGTGGGAGGGGATGTCAGAGTCGAGCTGCGCGAGGAGCGGGCGGCGAAAGACACCGAGGCGTGAGCCGCAGAAGCTGGATTCAGACGAACAAAAACTGAACCAACCTGGACCGCAAGTGGAGGGTCATGAGCCGCATAAGCTACGTGCTATGATTAAAGTTTGTACGTGGTGACACACAGATTCAACAACCTCTTCTTTCGTACGGCTGATGATGTAGGCTGCAGAGCAACAACCACAATTTCACATTCAGGGTGGTCAAGCCAGACGACCGCGTCGGGAGCAGCGGACCGTATCATCGCCCGCGATGTCTCCTTCGTATTTGTAGATCGGGCGTCGCGTCGTTGAGCGTTATGCGGTCTTGTTCCGGGTGACCACAGTCGCACACGACGACTGGGAAGTTTGCATTGTCCCGCTTGCGCATCGCGTAATCCGCATCCACTGCCATGGTTTGTGCAGTGCGTGCGGTTTCGGGTGGACCGTGAGCCTCGTGGAAGATCAAACCCAGCAGGATTTTCTGCGATGGCTCTTTCACAGATTCATCGATGCGCATCCATGATTAAGCGCAAGGTACATGCATCGAATCATCTGTGCACCAATCAATGTTTTAATATTCGTATAATGTTGCACATACATACAAAGATCCCCCATATAGCCTTAACCGACTGTAGGGGCAAGTGCTGTTAGCGAGCACCTATGAAGGCCGGAACGGTACACGAGGGGGTGGGTGGCCAGCACCACGCCCGACCGCCTTTGTCTCCCCAGTGGCAATGTTTACACACCGCACCAGGTACTCATTTGAGGCTGAGTCGACCTAGGGGAGGCCCGAGACCGGTTCAGAAAATCGTCACTGGTGTTGGCCATGAGCGGGAATCGAAACCGGGTCGCTAGGTTCATAGCGCAGCGCGCTAACCGCTACACTATCGCTCCCCTTATGCACATACATACACATACACACACACACGTAACGCACACACACCGTAGAGATGTAGCTGTGCAATTGGCTCGCGCGCGAGCAGGTGTTAAGATCGATTGCTACTTCGCAGGAGTGGAAGAGATGGTGATGGATTGGAGCGACCTTCATCCAGCAGTGGATTGGCCATGGATATTGACGACGATGTCGCACACGATCCACCGGAGGCTTCTCAGTATATTCCAATCTTTACAAATTAATGGGTCCTTGACTTTAATCGTGATATCGTGTAAGTGACGATTACTCAAATAGCAGCGGGGGGGAGGGGGGTGGCAAGTCACGTGATATATTACAGCCCGGATGCACTGCGAGACTCCACTCACAGCAAGATAGCTTAATATGTAATTAACTAAATTAGTGAATAATAAGTGTTTTCAAAAGAGAGGAGACTTATGAGCGGGCAAGCAGAGGGCGGTGAAAACAAACATTGTTGTACTGTGCTTCTATGCTCCTACGTTTATGCTCCCCGCCTTCACCAACTCGCACTGGCCCAGCGTGACGAAGTGTGGTCAAATAACCTCCCTCCTCACCCTCCCCCACCCCCAACAGAGGGCAGTGAAAAAAACCCCATTGTTGTACTGTGCTTCTATGCTCCCACTACTAGGCTCCCCGCCTTCACCAACCCGCACTGGCTTAGCGTGGCAAAGTGTGGTAAAATAACCCCTCCCTCCTACCCCTTCCCCCCCCCCCCACCAAGAACTTCCATGTCATCGGGAGGCCCTCGTTCAGCAGCGGATTTGGCAACGAATCGATTCTAGAAAATCGAATTGTGCCCCCGTGAATCCTCACAAGGGAGTTGCCGGTTCGGCCGGGTGTGCTACCCGTGCGCGCCTCCAATGAGAAGGTTTAACAAACTCGCCACTCTCGAGCGAGTGGCCTGTGGCGTTCACACGCAAGAGCCACCGGCCACGGAGGGCTTTCTCCGCGCGAAGGCGTTGGCAGTACACCAATATGAACAAAACCTGTACGGCCCTTCTTGCTCTGTCACGCAGTGAACTGAACACTGCCCTGGGAGACAGCCCAGCTGATTGAGAAAGAGGGTTCCCAGTATAGATGGGAATCAAAGTCCAAATCCTGGCCAGAGTTAAAATGAAGTGTCTTGAAATGATGATGTTGATGATGATATTACCGTCAGCGTCGTCGTAATTTGCAAAACGTTCACCACCTAATGAGGCTGCTGCGCCAAAGGTGGGCGTAACGATTGCGTCGTTTGCAAGCAATTTCGACGCTCAAGATAAGTTCATTCTTGATTTGAAGCTTTCGTGACTGCAGGAATCCATACTCTCTGTCCGTCTTCCTGAAGACGGACGCTTGTGTTGCGACCGAAACGTCGTGTTTTCTTTTGTTATTTTTTTCTATCAAGATAAGTTGCGTAACAAGCCATTATTTTACGATGCCCGGTAATTATATTGCGAATCTTACCTTTGGGGCTACTGAGACGAACAATAATACGAATGAGACGTAGGAAATAAGAACGGGGAATAAAGATCTGGTCTTTAAAGGAATCGTGACCCCCCCTCCCCTCCCCAAATACATGATAGGGTATTCAGTCGTGACAGGGTGAAGAAAAACACTCGTAACGGTTATCCGACGGAGAGACTTGGCAATTGTCCTTGCCGCAGTAATGTGGAATTTTCCCCACCGATTGAGCGCTGCCAGGGGACAGGGTCACCGGCCGCCTCGCCTTCCCTTAATTCAGTTGCTCTAGCTTTGTTACGCCGCAGGGCGAGACCCGGGGGGAGCGGCGAGTGACAATCGACTTGCCGGCAGCGCGAAGCCAGCTTTGTCGGTCCGTCTTAGGTCTACACGTGGTCGGTCATGAGTTGTGACTCGAGCGGGCGGCTCTGTACTTGACACTGCAACTCTTGTACCTGCTTGTCCTGTACCCTGTAACGCGGTGCTGTATACAGGCCACGTGTACATATCCCCACGAAAACAATCGAGAGGAATTAAAGAGGGAGGTAAAAAAAAAACATTTTCAAAGCTTCTACAAGTCTCAATCAACTTAGTTTCCCAGTAGGGAGAGATACTGCCAACTGCTTTGACCCAATTACACAACACGTGAGCACATTTTGAAATTCGGCAAATTTCGACCGTGATACAACGCCCACAACGCGTGGGCCTTACTCTATTTCGAATGACGTCACGGGACCCTTACACTCCCCCCCCCCCTCCCGCGCAGTATTAACCAGGGCAGCCGCACGGGCTCGAACCGGCAAAACCTCCGCCACGAGCGGACGCTACCCTTTCGGCCCCCCGTCAACGCCTGCCCCCCTCCCCGTGACAAATAAGGCCGTGGCTGAGCCGGGAATGCGAAGACTCCCCCCCCCCACCACACCCAGCCCCCCACCCACCCAGCCCCCCACCCACCCAGCCCCCCACCCAGCCCCCCACCCAGCCCCTGAGTGTCGGGAGATGTTTCTTTTTTACTCACGTCAGCCGCCTTCTTCTCGGCGACCTCAAGCTTCTCCTGGGCGTCCTTGAGGGCCTCCGAGTACTTGTCCAGCTCATCCTCTGTCCCCTTGAGCTTCTTCTGCAGAGCCACCAGCTCGTCCTCGAGCTGCGTGTCGGCGGGCGAGGGAAGGAGGGAGGAGGGAGGGAGACAATGTCAGGACAAAACCACAAAATAAGTTATTTTACAGCGCACCGGCGTGATGTGGAACAAAGCCACGAATTTAGCGCTTCCGAAATTAAATAAAACCGCCCATTCTCGATGTTCGGGTTGCATCTATCCGTGCGGGGCTTGGAGTGTGATATCTCATCGTATGCCTGGTGGGGTATTCTCCGGGTTCTCTGGATTTCTTCCACGCGAAACCAAATGATCTTGAACAGAATTGACCAAACATCAATGCAAACAATGTCATCGATGATTTCCCTCCTCGTTAACTTATATCGCGTTAAATGACAAACCGATGGGTCACTTTAACTTTGTTCGATGAGTTTTTTTTTTTACTTTACAGCCGACTACGTAACTATGAAAAAAAACCTTGACAAGATGTTCGTGTCGCCGTTGATTAATTATTGCGTTGTCGCTGTTAAAGGGACTCTAAACGAATCTTTAGAAATCCCACGTCTGCGATGGGTTTGTTGGGAAACCCAAGTCCTGGTGTCTCCCCACGGTCTATATTTATTGCGTTGAGCAATTCTAACGAACGCAATTCAATTATATTTCGGGGGGGGAATTAAAATATCACGACAAAATCCTCCATCTGCACGACCAGATGTGCCTACGCTAAGGAGCCTCTGTGCGATCTAATTCACTCACACACACACGGATGTGTTATTTATAAACGTGCAAAAAAAGTTATTGCGTGCGACACAATAACGATAGTTTCGCACATATGACACGCAGCGTCGTACGTGTTACAACGCCCACTGTTTTCACTTCTTCAGCAAGAAGAATAAGAAGTCGACGAAGAGAAAGCATAAATTTCCCCCACGTTTTGAATCGCTTGCGATTCTTTCGCCATTACAATTTTGCGTCCGCGGCCCTCCGACGGTGTTTTCAGGTTGCACCGCGCGGCGTTCGGGGCACGGTGTCCGACGTTTCGTTCCACACGCGCTGGGAGCTTCTTCAGGAACCTCACCCCCCCCCCCCCACCTCAAAGTCCGCCAAGCTCCCCAGCACGCGGAGGGAAACATTTCGTGCCCGAACGACGCTTGTGCCACACAAAACCCGAAATCACAACCGACAGCTGTGTAAGATATCTTAAAGCACACACGCACACACACACACAATGTACAATAAGCGAGCACAACTCTAACCGGCAAAATACATAACTAAGAGTCGACGATATTGTCTAAAAAGAGCTGCGTCCTTGGTCTCATGCAACACGTGGGTGATGGCCCTGCTCGGAGCGCATGAAACCATGAAGACAACTCACGAGCTGGGAGGAGGGTGGAGGAAGGAGGAGGGGGGGGGCACAAATGATCGATCGACCCCGACGCGGGAGACTACCTGCTTGGTTTTCTCCTCTGCCGCTTTCTTGTCGGACTCGGCCTGCTCGGCTCTGTCGATGGCATTTTCCTTGTCCAGCTTCAGCATCTGCATCTTCTTCTTGATGGCGTCCATGGCTGCGGCTGGCGGTGGTGGGCAATGTGCTCACACGACAGGAGGAGGAGGATGATGATGAGGGAGGATATGACGGCTTCGGACCGTGACTTGGCCGGCTGCGGCTCAGCGAGGCGAGTGAGCGGAGCAAGCCAAGGGGCCGTGCAGATAAGCGCAGGGCAGGGAGGGTGAGGAGGCGGGGACCCCCCCCCCCCCCCACCTCCACCACCGCCTTCCTAAATCTCAGGGACATTTTTGGAAGTGGCCGCGTCAGTGGCCCTGCCGGCCTATGGGGATGCGGCAAAGGGTCCGAGCGCCGTCCGGGGTTCGCGTTGAGCTCTATTTCGTCGGCGAGTGGACGCTGCGGTGCCCGTAAACGGCACGGAGGGGGTGTGGGGGTGTGGGTGCGCCCTGATTGACGGGCACAAGAGGCCAACCCACCACCAGCACCACCACCTCCACCACCACCAGCACCACCCAACCAACAAAACCAACCGGCCGACCGTTCCAACCACACCCGATCCCCACCCCGCGGCGGCCGCTACCTCGACCCCCCCACGCCCCCGCCCCCCCCGGGGGGCACCGTGACCCTCGGCGTGCACAGGTGCCCCTTCTGTATTACTGCGGCCGTGTAATCGTGGCCGTGTAACGCTACGGCAATCTTGCGAGGCCGGCACACACACACACACACAGACACACACAGACACACACAGACACACACACAGACACACACACAGACACACACACACACACACAGACACACACAGACACACACACAGACACACACACAGACTGAGTGAGAGAGAGAGAGAAACGTCAAGCCTTCCACTTCTGACATCTCATTTATTTTCGAGATTAGCCCCCACCGCACCACCACCACCACCCTCCCAGAGTCCACCACGCGAGCGTTCGTGACATTCCCAAGAAGACAAAGATCCCCCGTATAGCCTTAACAGACTGTCGAAGCAAGTGCTATGAAGGCCCGGCACGGCACACGGGGGTGGGTGGCCAGCAACCACGCCCGGCCGCCTTTGTCTCCCCAGTGGCGATGTTTACACACCGCTCCAGGTACTCGTTTGAGGCCGAATCGACCTAGGGGAGGCCCAGGACCGGTTCAGAAAATCGTCACCGGTGTTGGCCGTGAGCGGGAATCGAACTCGGGTGGTGGGGTTCGCAGCGCGCTAACCGCTACACTACCGACCACACACACACAGACACACACACACAGACACACACACACAGACACACAGACACTCTCATCCGAAATACAAGATGTTACCACCGAGGCCCAGTAGAACGGTACCCACGGCGCGGAACACATAAGGCGGGCGACGATAATATTTTGGGTGGCTGGGCTCGGTGGATTTGTCTGAGCTTAGTTTGGCTGTCGGAGGCCAAAGCAACCACTTTGCGCATTAGATGCGAACCCTGGAACGCCGTCGTTCGTGCCGGCACACAGCCATCGTGTAAGATTTACACAAGAGTATTTTTGGACATTTACCGCAAATTCCCCAATGTCCTCTCGTAATGAAAGAAAATCCTCGCAATGTCTGAAACCTACGCTACTTTTAATGGGATCGATAGGCTGAGTATACGGCCACCTAAATATATGCTCAACATGAAGATGTACGCACACAGAGAGATGATATATACCTATATAGAAACATGCACGGTGCTTGATTTTTAAATGGATATGCTGTATCTGAGTCGCCCGGTAGATCAGAGTAGGGGCGCCACGGTGTCGAGATGTCAACCACCTCGCCTGGTGTACAGGAGGTCGTGGGTTCGATACCGACCCTGACGCCTGCTGTGTATTTGGAGTTTGCGGTGTCTCTCTCTCATCATCATCATCATCACGGTGGCTAGGAGATATTAACTACCTCGCCTGGTGTACAGGAGGTCGTGGGTTCTATCCGACCCTGACGCCTGCTGTATATTTGAAGTTTGCGGTGTCTCTCTCTCATCATCATCACGGTGGCTAGGAGATGTCAACTACCTCGCTAGGTATACAGGAGGTCGTGGGTTCGATTCCGACCCTGACGCCTGCTGCTGCTGCTGCTGTGTATTTGCAGTTGTTATGTCCTTCCCCGTGGTCGCGTTGATTTTTCTCCGGGTCCTCCGGTTTTTCCCTCCACGTTTCGAAACAACATCACCACGCGTTTAGAGTATTTGGGCTGAAATACATTTCCACTTGATTAGCCGCTTCGCCGAGCTCTCATTTGTGGCCAGGTCGCTTCTGAAAAAGAGCCACGTATAGCTACGTGGGCCTTATCTGGTAAAAATAAAAATAGTTCAGCCGAGGTGGCACGGTGGCGAGTAGGCATGGCCATAACGAGATGCACACTCGACGTGGTGTGCCGGGTGTATAAATATTTTTTCTGGGTTACGGAGCACAGCTAAAATTAGGCCCAATATTTATATACGCACATGTATATAAATATCCACACATTGAGAAGTGTTTAGGTAACGTTCATCTCCGTGTTGGTCCATTACCAGTCGTGGGACCCACAAGACTGTGAATTGAATTTCACTCCTCCGGGGGTCCCTGCCCTCTGCTTTAACGCGCTGATATAAGCACGGAGGAATGTGGATCCAGCAGCCGCGTTCACCACCAGGACTTCGTTTCAGCCGGGTCTCTCCGGGTCGGCCGGCACACCACATCGAGTATACCCGTGGCTTCTTCGGCTGTGGCCACTGCTGTAGTCCCGGTGCAGGCAGTGCGCGTTGCCGGCACAAATGCGAAATCAAAACCCGGAGAAGCTTGGTGAGCTGAATGGATTTTGATTTAAAGCTTTCGTGACTGCAGTGATTCATATTCTTAGTTCTTTCGGTAAAGTCACGTTGAAGGGAAACAATAAAATAATAAAATATATATAAAACAATAAAATTCCCATGACGTTTCGACTCCAACACAAGCAGTCATCATCAGGTGTGAAAACCAACGGCACTTCTTTCAAATGTTCTTGCCGTTGGTTTTCACACCTGATGATGACTGCTTGTGTTGCAGTCGAAACGTCGTGAGAATTTTATTGTGTTTTATATATATTTTATTATTTTATTGTTTCCCTTCAACGTGACTTTACCGAAAGAACCAAGAATATGAGCTGAATGGAGTTCAAAGGAACTCGCAAACAAACACCTCGTGAAAGACCCAACGCAGGCGATCCCATGGAGTTGGATCTTCCACGGAGCTGCTCACGGTCCACCCTAAACCGCATCCGCTGCACAAACCGTGGCAGTAGATGAGGATACCCTGATGCACAAATATAAATTTTAAAAACTCTTCAGTCGTTGTGGTGTGACTGTGTCATCCAGAGCAGACGGGCAACGTGGAACGACGGAGTGCCCCGATCTACAAATACAAAGGAGACATCGCGGCGATGCACTCCGCTGTTCCTGACGCTACTATACACTACTATACACTACACTACACACTACACTACTATACACTATACTACTATACACAGACTCGAGCTCTTCCTGGGGGAATTCCCAGGCGTCCCCAGGCCAGCCGAGCGACGTCGTCACGATACCAGCGTGGTCCCGACACCAGCCTGGTCCCGACACCAGCCTGGTCCCGACACCAGCCTGGTCCCGACACCGGCGTGGTCCCGACACCGATACCAGGGTGGTCCCGACACCGACACCAGCCTGGTCCCGACCCCGGCGTGGTCCTGGGCCGGCCCCGGGGGTCGCCGCCAGCAGTGCGACGTCGCTGCTGCTGCTGCTGCTGCCCGGTCGAGTTCCAGGGGGGAGTCTACCGGGGGGGGTGGGGGGGCATCCTCAGCGGGTGTGCCCGAACCACCTCGACTGGTTCCTCTCGATCCGCAGGAGGAGCAGCGCGGCTCGACTCTGCGGCTCTCTCGGATTTCCTGAGCTCCTCATCCGATCACGGAGAGTGGCGAGGCCCGGCAACCCCGCGGATCAAAACCTCACTTGGGCCCCTTGCTCATAACGATGATGATGAGGAGGATGACGATGAAACTACATCGGGCCCTGACCTCTCGTTAAATAAGGGCCACCGGCCGGCCAAGGTTTGCTTTTGCCGGTGCTTGTCCCACACCCGATGAAGCCCGGTGCCGCAGCTGTCGAGTGTGCAGGCGGTGCAACTGCGGGTTGGAAGGGTCCAGGTGCTCCGAGTTGCGGGTGGTGGGGGATTGGAATGGGGCGGGGGGGGGTATTTTATTCCTTGAACCAGGGCCAAAGCCAAACACGTAACCCCACTGGCCGAAGCAATTTGTTTACACCGAAGACGCACGTATGTACGTACGTATGTATGTGTGTTGAGCTTCTTTCGTACCGTACGTGGCCGACCGTGCGAGTCGGGAGGGTGCGTGGCGATTCTTTTGTTTGGACACGAACGGGTGAGGTCAGGTCAGGTCACCCCCACGGCGGCATCCGAGAGTGGACTTTGGCTGATTGACCTCTTGATGGCTCGCCCAGTTCCGTGGGTCAACGTACACGCAGCCCCACTGCCTTGCCAACTCACCTCGTGCCATCATCACCGAGGGTTGGCAGAGGTTTTCAAGCCTCGCGGGGCGGTGACACGGCCCACATCAGTGGCACGTTCGCCGCTTGTCGCAGAGGTTTGCTTTGTCGACTTTGGCAAGCCGCCCTGGTCAATCGTGAAGACTCGGAAATCCTTGTTGATGTAAGTTGAAACTATAAACTTTTATTTTACCAGGTAAGGCCCACTGGCCGATATAGAGCTCTTTTTCAGAAGCGACCTGGCCATCACAAATTATCGCTCAACGAAGTGGCTCGTCATCATCACGTGGCAATTTAGAGCAGCAGCCAAACACTCTAAACGCGTGACGTTGATTCTAAATGTGGAGGGTATAGCCGGAGGAACCGGAGAAAAATCCACGCGACCGCGGGGAGAGAGACACGCAAACTCCAAATATACAGCAGGCGCCAGGGTCGGGAACGAAAAACTAAACTATTTATTTTATTTATATTACCAGGTAATTTCCCACTCAGAAGCGACCTGGCCATCACAAATGATAGCTCAACGAAGTGGCTCATCATCATGTGGCAATTTATAGCAGCAGCCAAATACTCTAAACGCATGATGTTCATTCTAAATGTGGAGGGAAAAACTGGAGGACCCGGAGAAAAATCCACGCGACCACGGACGGGGAGAGAGAGACACGCAAACTCCAAATATAC